AAACTTCTAACATATGTGGAAGTGTAGTGATTGTTACTCGGTGAATTTTCAGTAATTCTCACAGTAGGTGAAAAGCCATGGAAATGTGTGCTGTCTTAGAAGTCCAACTGCCCGTGCATTTCAGGGATACCAGCTGGGTCCTCAGCGAAGGTGATGTGCTCTGACCGGTGCCCTGTGCCAGGGAGAGCCTCACACCCCACGCAGGACAGGTGTGGTGGTGATGCAGGGGTCCCCAGATGAATCCTGGACCTAGGCTTTCCTCTTGTATTTGTTACCCTGATAGCAAGACCAGTGGGCTCTTCAGGGCTTTCATACCCACGCTTAAAGGGATGTGGGAGAAGCAGCTGGCCTGGCAGAAGGAGCACTGCTGCTGGAATCAGAAAATTGCTTTTAGGTCCCAGTTTTTAAGTTAGTTGCTTGGCCTTAAACATGTTCCTTGTAAATTCCTTGGGCCTCAGTTTCCTCCTTCGTCATGGGGATGATAAAACCTCCCGGGCCGTGGAGGATGAAGGTGAAACGAGGTGGCTCTGGTACAGTGCCTGGGCCATAGAAAACCCTCGGGAAATGGCCCTGCCAGCATTTGATCCCGTGTCGTCCTGTGGCTCTGTGATGTCTGCCCCTCCTGCTTCCTAACAAGGGTGCTGAAGCTTAGAGACTTTCTTCCGCTGCCTTCAGGCTCAGACAGGTTCTTTCTATTTCTGACACTGAGCCTTCCCTGGTTTCCAGCTGCTCGTCCCCTGCTCAGGCCCGTGGCTCCTTCTCTCCACACCACTTTCATTTTGATCTTTTCACTCGTTTCTGCTCTTCCCTGTTCCTTGTTTTCTTGCAGCCATTCCACGTTTGCTGTGGTTCCAGCTTTGCGCGGTTTGGCAGTCTCGTGTCATGAGAAATAGTTGAATGATGATGGAAACTTTCCGAACACACGCGTCATAGGCGTCTCCCGTGGCGTCGTGGTGGCAGGGTTGCAGGAGGGCAGTACTCATGCCCGCCAGCTCGGCGTGCGGCCCCCAGCGGCTCTCTGCCCTGCTGACCGCGTGACCTGGCCTGGGGCGGCCTCAGTCCCCCACTGGTGACGTGGGAGCAGGGAGAGTTCTGAGCCACCGCGGTGCTGTGATTGCACGGCCTCCTCACCGCCTCGGAAACTCGGGCCGGGAGCTGTGGATTTTGCCGTCGCACTGGGAGTTGTGTGGCAGCAGCCTGCAGGGGAGCACGTTCATGCTTGTGCAGTCAGGCGTCCGGCTGTTGATGCTGGGTGGGATAAACCAAGATAGTAAGTGGGTTTAGATCAGCTCAGGTCAGGGTTTTCAACCACACAAGTTCAAGTCTAGCTAGGCTTTGCCACTAAAAAAATTACGAAAGCCTTTCCAATCTCAGAGCTTTTTACAGATTTCAAGGTTGTGCATGATGGGTGATGAAGCAACACCACGTGTTAGGAAAGAAGGCATACGAAGCAGTAGCTGGTGCACATAAGTTCTCAGTCAACGTTAGTAATTCCTGTTAGGACCGTGGCTGCAGAAACTGTTTAATGTGCTAGTTTGTCCTTAGGACTTTGATTTTTTCAAAAAAATTTCTCAGTATATTTCAGTTTGGGTGTCGCCTTTTCCCTCACGTCTCCTGTTACCTGTTTGTACCCCGCAGCCCTGGAGAACGAAGTGTACCGCAACCCGAAGCCGGCTGTGCTCAGTCGCTCCATCAGCGGATCACTGGGCGGCAGGACGGTGCCCCATGGTGCTGACATCGGCGAGGAGTTCTTAAAAAATCCTCTCAGACAGGAGGAGCTGATGGCAGGCTCCGGTAGCCCAAGGATCCCAAGTTACCGGAACGCCAGCACAGAGGGCAGTTCCCCCGATTCTGACCTTGAGTTTGTAGCCAATACCAAGGCCATGGTGAGACAGCTGGAGCAAGAGGCCGAGCGCTTGGAAAAAGCTTTCCAGAGTTACCATCGGAGAATCAGGCAGTACCCCACCAAGAGCCTGGCAGCAGACAGGAGCCCGCCCGCCCTGTGCTCACTGGAAAGCCTCAAGGGCGTCACTTCGGGGGCCCCTGAGAGGGGTGTGTTTGCAGAGGACAGAGTTGCCCCCCAGCAGCCTCTGGTGAATGCCCGGAGAGAAGAGGAGAGCGAGGCCTCCGAGGTGGCCGGCAGCATGGCCTCACGGCCCCACCAGGGCATGGCCTCCAGACGCGTCTCCTCCACCCCACTCCCAAAAGCAAGGAGAAGCCTTGATGGTGAAATGTACCTGGAAGGTAAGCTCCTGCCAGAGGGGTTGCAGGATGCTGTGCACACAAGTGGGTTGTTCCTCAGTGGACCTCTCCTGAGTTACGAGTGCTGTTGGGCCCAGGAGAGTCTGCCCTCTGACCCTGGGGACCCGGGGCATCTCCCCGCATCACAGGGCTGGTGTGGGAGGCAGTGGGATGGAGCCTCAAGTGCCAGCATTTTGCTTGGCACACAGGGGTGTTCAGAGAGTGACGGTGGCTTTGCCTTTGCTGCCGGTTAGCTTTATGTGTTTTATTGTCTAAAAGCACTGCAGTTTTACTTTGGTGCCTGAGTCGTTCTCTGGATCCCGTTCGCTCATACTCGGCTGTGGGCAAGGACGGTAGAGTTCATTTTTAAAGTAATAGAACTCTTGAGAAACCACATTGCTATCTTCCCCATGCAGCTTTTGTAACATGGTCGCACTGGTTCCCTCTGCCCCGTAGGTCTGAGCCGGTCCCATGCTGCTGTCCCTGGTCCTGACCGGACACTGCAGCCTTCACCTGCCCTGTCTCAGCACAGCCTTTCCAGACACTCGCTCTCCAGCCCCCCAGAGCAGAAGGCCAGGTAAATTGGCTGCCTAAAGTCTCAGCCTTGACTTGTTTGGGTTTTCTAGGTAACATGAAAAACCATGTGGCACTGTGGAATTTGCAGTCCAATTGTAAGATGTGTGATCTTGGAGACTCATCTGAATTACCTGGGGGAGAAAACGTTCCTTGCTAAACTAAATATAGAGAATCTATACTATGGTATTGATAAGCACCGTCTAGTTCCATGAATAGACTTGGTTTATAAAGGTTAAACAGATGTACAAAATCCGCAAAAGCAAATAAATTCAGCGTGGACTTAAAGCAGTTTCACACATCATTAGAAAGTCATTTAAAAATATATTGGCACTTAAATATAAGCAAATAAGTTTCCAGTTTGTAAATCATTGAGCAATTCTAAAGTGGTAGTGAGTCCAAGGGCATGATTGCTGCAGCAGGGTGGCACAAATGTGTTGAAGCTCAGCGACGTGCCGCCTGGGCTGGGGCTCATGTCACGTGCGGGACTCCTGCCTGTGCCCGGTCCCCACGGCAGGAGATCCTGACTCCTTGGTTCTGGGCTCTGGCCTGGGCGTCTGTGTGTCGATTCAGTTGTACAGAGTCGAAACGGCCACGTGTGCCCATCCTAGTCGTAAAGTGGGTCATGTTTGTTTCTATTGCTCCTTCCGTGAGATAGCCAAGAGGAGAGAGAGGGTCCACACAGGCTGGGTCAGGGCACTGTGATGCCCCGACTTGGGCTTGTAGTGTTGCACCTTCAGCTGGCTTGTGCTAAAGGTGTGCAGAATTTGGTTTCTTCAAATTTTTAAATTTTTTGGTTTTGTAGTTCTTAAAAAAAATTCTCCTACAAACAGCATCGAGTGCAACATTATTCTTTGTTAACGATGGTGGTCCCGACCTCGCAGCATGAGGCGGTCTGCAGGAGGAACTGAGTTAAGGTGCACTGTTTGGAGCGATGCCTGCTGCGTGGAGAGGGCGCAGTGCAGCATAAGCTCTTACTCTCTTGAGTCGGTGAAAATTTAATTTTCTAAAGCATTTTCTTGAGTTGCAAAAGGCTTCTCATTACCCTCTGCTCTTGTGTTGTGCGTTATTAAAGCTTTACATTCTTGAATTTTATTCTTCCAATCCAGTCTTTTTGAAAACCAAGTGGAACTTAAAGACAAAAGCGAATTTTCCAATCTGGACAAGCTAGCTTTTAAGGATAATGAAGAATTTGAGTCATCTTTTGAATGTAAGTTCACATATGAGTATTTTTTTTTTTAACAAACACTACCTTTATTCTGCAGTATCATTTAATCTTTGGGGATATGTGTGTGTACATATATATGTAAACTTGTTTATTTATTTTATTTATAGTCATTAGTATCGGCAAATCTTGAGCTCCCAATTTATCCCTCCCCACCCATGAGTACTTATTTTTGTAAGTTCAAAATGTGGAAAGCTTAGTTTTGGTGATACATAGCCACTGTTGTCAAAAGCAAAGCAGTTATAAACGAGGACGTTTTTATTTTGTGATAAAACCACAAATACAGATACAGTGCCTTGTTTCTGTGTCACAAAGAGTTTCAGGTTCTGAATTCGATGTATTAAAAATCTCAGGATAACTAATTTTAGAGTTGCAGCTAAGCCACTGAGTGAATCCTTAATTAGGTTTGGGATTGCCTCAGATTTAAAACAAATGACTTCTTAAAATGTGCTCCCCCCCTTTATGGAATATGAAGATAAGCTATCTCTGTATTATATTGATTTCATCAATTGCCTCTGATTTAGAAAACCCTTCCTTAGTTACAGAATGGACGGAAAAGGCCATTGGCTTAAGAGTCTAGAGACCTGTGTGTTGGCTTTGGCTCTGCCTTACGCTGCTCTTCCTCGGCGCCTGCTGCTGCAGTGTAAAACCGGATTGTAGTGTCGTCCAGCCCCGAGGTTCTTTGCAGCTTGGGAAGCCTTTTTTTTTGGTTATAGAAGCTTTATTCATAGTAGCCAAAAACTTGAAACAACCCAGATACCTTTCAGTTAATGAATGGTTAAACTATGGTAAGTCTATACCATGAACTACCACTCAGCAGTTAAAAGGAGCAGAATACTGATACATGTCACAGTTTGCATGAATCTCCATGGAATTAGCTTAGTGAGCAAAATCAATCCCAAGATTACATACTATAATGATTAATTTAGATAGCATCCTGGGGGAGGGCATAGCTCAGTGGTAGAGCACGTGGTTAGCATGCACAAGGTCCTGGGTTCAATCCCCAGTACCTCCTTTAAAAACATATAAATAAATAAAATAAACCTAATTACCTCTCCCCACCAAAAGAAAAACAAAACTAAATAGCATCTTTTTTTTTTAACTGAAGTATAGTTGATAGACAGTATTATGTTACAGGTGTCCACTAGTGAGTCACAATTTTTAAAGGTGATACTCCGTTTGTAGTTATTATAGAATATTGGATACATTCCCTGTGTTGTATTGGGAAGTCTTTATGTTTGTGTGTTAACCTGTCATTTTGCCTTATGAGCTTCATTTTCAAGCGTGAATATACAGTATTTTGAACAGGTAACCAAGAGGTCTTAGTATATTTTGCAAAAATCCTTGCAACCAACTTAATTAACTTTCTTAAATCATGGATATTTAAATCGAATTCAAATGATGCTCAGCAAGCCAGGTGTATTCTTCTGTCACTGAATTGATTTTCCCACTGGGTAACAGATCGAACTTATCAATGAATCTCAGAAAACTTTCAAAAGCAGATAGATTGGCAAGTGGCGATGGTAACTTCTAGAATCCTGTAAGGAAAGGGCCAGCCCACTTGCTTTGGCTGAAGCTTAAGTGCCCCACCATGAGTTAGCCCCCTACTCCCTTCTCTTGATGCTGCTGCTGCTGCTAAGGACTCAGGGGACACTTGTTTGCACCTCTCGTAGATGCAGGGAACGTGCCCAGGCAGTTTGAGATGGACGGCCTCCACCCTGAGGGCGACGTGCCTCACATGGACGGGGCCACAGTCTCTGTGCCCTCCAGGCCTGTCTCCTGTCACTATCCAAGTAGGATTTTCTTTGTCTGAACTAACAAAGTGTATTCATTCATTGATAATATTTAGCATTATTTCTCTTTCTGTTTGCTTCCTTTGTGCCTTAAAAAATTAGGACGGTTGAACCCATATATTTCCATCTGTAGGAAAACTGAGCACGGTGGTGGAAGAGTGGTGCTCAGACTTCTCTGGGCTGGCGCGCTTTCTCTCCCCCCTCCCTGCTCCAGACTCCCCGCGTCCTGCGCCTGTGCGGTCGGGGGGGGGGG